CGGCCTGGCCTTGAACCCTTCCGGGGAGGAGCAGCCACAGCTTCTCTGGCCAACCTGTTCCAGTGTCTGACCACCCTCACAGTGAAGAATTTCTTCCTAATATCTAATCTAAATCTCCCCTCTTCCAGCTTAAAGCCACTTCCCCTTGTTCTGTCATTAATTGCCCTTATGAAAAGTTCTTCCCCAGCTTTCTTGTAGCCCCTTCAGGTACTGGGAGGCCGCGATAAGATCTCCCTGGAGCCTTCTCTTTTCCAGGCTGAACAGCCCCAACTCTCTCAGCCTGTCCTCACAGCAGAGCTGCTCCAGCCCTGGCATCATCCTTGTGGCCTCCTCTGGACTCGTTCTAGTTTCACCAGGTCTCTCTTGTGATGGGGGCTCCAGAACTGGACGCAGTTCTAGGAGCTTGACTAGGACACAGGAGCACAGTGCTGGAGATGGACAGGTGCCCAGTCAAATGACAAGGCTTCCATCAGAAAATGGACAGCACGTAAATAATTTTGATAAACTATATTCAATCTCTGCCCTAAACCCACCAGTTTTACCACAACGATACTCAGCCACATTGCGGTCTTCCTGCAGGGGCGAGTTGGCAGACTTCATAAAAGCCGTCCACAAACTACCACAGAAGCCCAACAACAAGAAATTGGAAAAGCTTTAAAAGTTCATCTACAGGTTTTCTGCTGGCACTGGCAGAGTTCAAAACTTTAGAGTTCAGTGTAGTGCTCTCTTACTGCCTCGGAGGGAAAGGGCCATGAATCACTGATCAAAACAGTGGCACAAAGTTGTCCTGGGGTTTTTTTGGTTTTTTTGGTTGGTTGGTTTGTTTGTTTTATAAAGAGGAAAAGATTATTCCAGGAATCAAAATATCAATGTGAAACACTCAATATCTGAAACTAGTTTTAGATAATAATAATAATCTGAAAGCAATGATATTTCAATGTGTTTGAACTTAGCAAGCAGGAAAGTTTAGTTCACATTATTCACTTGAAAGCAAGAAATCCTTCACAATGCAGAATTTTTAAACTGAGGACAGTCAACTAAAATACTTTTGTAAAAATCCAGTAATTTGTTATATGTTGAGTCTTGTAACTGAAGATAGTAAATTTATATATAAAAAATAAAAACTGTATGCAAGTTTAATTCTTTTTGAAAAAATACCCAGTGAACATGGCAGAAACAAAACTTTTTTTAAAAAAATCTCATTCTTATACTGCACCTTTTGGGCTCCATATTATGTTCTTGCTTAGTTTTTTAAAGCATCTGTTACAGAGATTAAAATATTCTTACAGGATTCAATAGAGCCTTCATTTTTTGTATTTTATTTGGACTAAGGTTACCATTTCAGTCTCGGAATTAAGTTCCATCTACAAGGATTTGTCACAAAATACCCGCAACAGAAATGTAATGCTCATCATTTTTAAAAGAAGAAATGCTTTATTACTCTAGAAACGTAATAAAAATCTAGGTACAATATGTTTTTGGCTAGATAACAGCATTCTCACCTAGAAGGGGAAATCAAAATAGAATATATTCATTTTTCTGCCATGGAAGTGGTAGTACTGCAGCACAGATAAGCTCCCATAAACCAGAGCTTACAGCAGGTCCTCTATAGACACCTGGCCAAGGACAGGAGCAACAAAGATGACAACCTCTTAAACTGGAATAACAATGCAAATATCAGAACTTGCAGTGCATGAATTTTGGATAGAAAACACAACATTTTGACTAAACGACATAGTAAGAACTCCCCATTTACTGTGCATCTACCCACAGCTTCCAAAGTTGGACCCCCTCAGGCAAGGAAAGCATTTTATTACCCAGCGTGTACCCAGTGCGCTCCACTGTGCTGTCAGAACCAAACTGCTGGACTAGCTTTGACTTTTACTTTAATTCTAGAAAATCTGTGTATTTGGGTGACTGCCTGCTGGAGTGAAGAAGGGCTGTGGATACGCAGGTCTATAAATATCCCAAGCCTGCATTAGTCACAAGGGGCAGCTTCTGCTACAGGAATTGTTCTGCTGAATCAAAAAAAACTGCTGTGCCTTCAGCTGCAACGCCGGATCCTCCACCTCACTGCAACTTAAACAGCAGACCAGTCACTCCCAGGTCCTTACAATTTAGGAAGCATCACTGCATATCTAACTAATCTAGTAAGGGAAATGTTTCAAACATACAACAATACCTCACAGAGAATTAAAAGGAGACAAAGAAAAACCTGTCTGAGTTGTTGGGTAACAAACTATCAGACTTGTCAGCAAAAACCAAACAATGGTGGCAAGACTACACTGCACTAGAGTCATGTATAAATAATGTGGAAATAATTTGCTATTTTTGTGGTAAAACGTAATTTCACAATTTAACACCCCTATACCACAGCTTACACAAAAATGAGGTCTTCTGAACTGTCAGTGTACCAGCCTGAGCTTCGTTAGAGGAACGCTATTAACGCTTCTCAGTACGATCCAGGCAAACTATTCCCTTTAATTTATTACTTCAGGTCTTTTCAACCAAGAAACGTTGCATTGCTCTCCTTAAATTTCTTTTAAAAGTTTTTACTTGGTGTCTTTGCTTAAATTAGAACTTACCTATTATTAGTGTGAAAACTTCTGTCACTCCCATATAAGGGGAATTAGTGACAGAACAAGGGGAAATGGCTCTAAACTGGAAGAGGGTAAGTTTAGACTGGATATTGGGAAGAAATTCTTCACTGTGAGGGTGGTCAGACACTGGAACAGGTTGCCCAGAGAAGCTGTGGCTGCTCCTCCCTGGAAGTGTTCCAGGCCAGGCTGGATGAGGCTTTGAGCAACCTGGTCTAGTGGAAGGTGTCCCTGCTGCTGGCAGGGGGGTTGGAACTGGATGATCTTTAAGGTCCCTTCCAACCCAAACCATTCTACAATATAAATGCTGGTCTGCTCCTCAGCTTTAACACAGAGCACTCCCAGGACAGGCCACTGCCTAGACCTTCTCTGCCCATTCCAGAAACACCCTTTGTGGTTTTGTGGCAGTGTTAGACAAAGCGAGCCATCTACACAACAACTGCTCCCAGGTGGGGAAAAAACCCAGGAAGAAACAGGGAGCAGGTCTCCTTCCAAGAGAGCACATCACAAAACAAGGAGTGGAGATGAAAATCCAGATCTTGCCATTCTCCTCATTCAGATGTTAACGTGACACTTTCTGTTCAGCTCGGGGATACCCTACGTTATAGTCTATCAGAGAAATACAAGGAAGCCAACTTTCTACTGCAGGGAATTTAAACAGCGTTATTAGAATGAACTTTCTCAAATCAGAACCTGGCAAAGAGGAAAAAATATTCTAGGGGACAAGTCTTCTCTCTTCACAACCTTCCTGTTTCTCAGAAATGTAAAATGAACACAACAGACAACACATTATCCAAACATTAAGCATCTTCCACTTTGAACACAGTCTTAACGGCATCTTAAATAACAGAAATGTGAGTAAATTACAACATTTGAATTTCCCACTAAATAATGGTCTTAATATTTTTTAAAAATAGGAAGCTAATAAGTTTTTCATCTTTTTCCTCAAATAAAGGGCAGGACTACATGGTACACAAATCATCCCCAGTATTTCTGTATCAACACTATATTCTCTCAGTTTCCATGGCTCAAATTTTAGAGCTGCTTAGTAAGAAAACAAAGGGAGAATTTATCCCTTACTTCTGCTTGTAAACAAAATCCATCCAACTTCAAGACCTAAAAGAGTGAAAAGACTAATAGAAGAGAAAATATCTGATTTTGGACACATGAAAAATCAAACAAGACGTTAGGAAGGGAGTGGTGCTGCGACCCTGTTCCCCATGACTATTGTGAATTTGCAGAAGATGCTCTGAAGTACCAGCACCCGAGAGTGCACACGTTGTCCACTGTCCACGCTTGTGAGAGTGCAGCTGCACGTCCTCCTACCACAAGCCCTCTGATGCTAGATCACAAACCCTTCACCTTTACACGAGTTGTTTTCTCTTCCAAGGATCAAAAATAAATGCTTCATTAATTTTCAACACAAAGTACCAGTTTCCAAAGGGAGATTCATATGCAGCTTCATGGAAAACTCTGGATGGTAACGGCAGCGATAGCTGATATATATGAGCATGTTTCACTCATCTAACAGCATTCTTTTGAAAGGAATGCATCCAGGATATTTTAAAACAAGATAATTTTGGTGTTCATCCAAACTTTATTGAATATTGTAAGCCAAATCCACGTCCTTCCCATACAAAGCACATGCTTGGTCTTGATAACAGCTACCTGATTGCTAGAGGTAAAATACCAACCTAGAGATGTACCTTTTACACCAAAGCAATTAAATTAGCAGCAAAGGGATTTTTGGGGGTGAGCTTTTTATTTGTTTGTTTCTTTTTTTTGTTGTTGTTTTCCAAAACTTGAATTACTAAGCAAACCAACTTTATACCCTAGTAACGAGGTAGCTGATGAATCAGCAGCTGCAATTAAGCTTACAGTCATGTATCCTAGGAAGCAAACAGCAGGCCAGCACGAGGAAGAGCCATTCATACACTAAAACCCTCTTCTGTTGTGTAAATTGGCCACTGGCAGCAGCTTCCTGTAGGAGCAGGGCTTCCCCAGATGTGCAGTGTATTTCAGAACCTCACTGCTGTTGAGAGTCCTCATTATAATGGATGTTAATTAGATCAAATCCACATCCAAAGCAATTTAAAAGAAACAACACCAATGAATTAAAGACATCTTTCTTTTAGAAGATCAATATGAAGACGTGTGGTGGCAGCTTAAGCAACAGGATTTGACATGCTAAAGAGCTCTGTGTGTAACAAAAATACACATTACTAATGGATAGAGCCCCGTATGCAAAAAACCTTAGAGCCCAGGCAGGAAATAAAGAGTAATCCCACCAATTCTTCAGAAAATAAAACACGAATTTGAGTCATTTTTGTTCTGACACAAGTTTACATTCAAGATCAGTTTATTAAGCACCAGCTACCAGGAGAATTTTAAAGAATCACTATCAGGAATGAACGAGGTTTCCTCTCTTCCTCAAGCACCCTCTTTAACAGCCATCTGAAGTGCTCTAACTGTGTCACAAGTACCTGAGTTCTCAAAAAGTCTGCAAGTCCCAGATTCTCATATGTGTATTAGCAAAAATAAAAACATCATTAGGCTGCAGAACATTTTCAGTTCATCTTGTAAATACTACGAGCTCCACACAAGCTGCCTAGTGCTAGTGACATTAAAGCTGACATCGATGTGTCCTGCCTCTCAATATTTCACATCATGTCCAGTCATACCCAGGTACACAGTAAGCTCTATCATGATTCTATTTTTAAAACTGTAACTCCATGAGGTCCAAGACAGCAGAAAATCACATCCTCCTCCCCTTTTAATCTCATCAAACACACAGACCATCTTAAAAATATGATTTAATCTATATATTAACCTGGAAATGACTCAGGTTAATCTAGTATCTCCTCTTAAAGGCACTCAGAACAAGTACCATTTTCACTCAGGCCACCATTTAGAAATGGTTTTAAGACAGACAGGTATTAAGGCAGGCAGCCTTTAAGAGGTTATCCTACTAACCTACATTACTGACACGTTAGTGCACAGCAG